TCTAAAATCCCATATATTTATATTGCAAACGCCGCCATCTTGTTCCCACCCATTGCTTATTTCAAATCTGAATATATGGGATTTAGGTGAACATCCCTCATAAAACATGGAAAGCGACGTATTTGATGGACCTAATAATAGTCATCAAATACGTTGATTTCAATTTTTTATGATAGATGTCCATTTAAATCCTATATATTAATATTTAAAAGTGAACTCAATTTTATCCAGTAAATAAAATTCTATTTTGATCTTTAATCACTATTATTATTCTAATATAAGTGGTTGGGAGCAAAATGGCGGCGGGACCTCTATTGTCGCCACTGTATCTAAAGGTTTATTTAGCCCCTGTACCGGAGAGTCACTGTATAACCGGTAGGTAAAGTTAACTACCATTGCAGATAGTTTTCTAGGTGGTATGTTCTGTGGTGACAAGTGACAGTATTGCAGCCTTGTGCTTTATGACACTAGTTGTATTCCTTTCAAGAGTTTGAAACACTCGAGCTACTCGTTCCGGTATTTAGTAGCCCCCGATTTGCAGGTAACAGATGCGTGGTGCAACAAACAATTTCGAAAGGAATGCGACTATTAGTTGTATTCCTTTCACACCTAGGAGGAGCTCCGGAACACCTCCGGGGCTTCACGCGCTTATCCCTTTCGAAAAGTATTTGTTGCACCATGCATCTGTTCCCTGCAAACAGGGTCGGCGCAACCATTAGGCGAACTAGGCGGTCGCCTAGAGCGGCAAACTTAAAGGGGCGGCAAAAATAAGGCAAAAAAAATCTTTTGATTTCTTTTTTTCTTCCTATTATTCAGAATTTCATTTCCCTTGCAAACCCGAACACAAACTTTGCCTTTCTCATGAGCACATACTGCTATCAAAGTCTCTGCTATACTTGTTTCTCAGTCGCTAGGGGTCGTGCGACGTTGCGGGCGGCCAAAAACTACTTATTTTATATTAGGAATATTTTTGGCACAAAATTAACGTTTTGAACATGGCACCAGGACAGGATTTTTTTCGCTTCCGCCGGCGCCTGCGGCGGGCATGTGTGTATGTATTTTTTTTATATTGATATTCTATAATCTATATTCTATAAGTCAGGTGTACAGGGTGATCCAGTATAAAGTGAACACCTCCTACCTTTTCGCTAAAAAATTTTTTTTTCAAAAAATCAAGATAGCCATTTGGTTTATTTTGTTTCTAGGTGTTTGAGAACGTTTTTCGAAATTTAGTTAGATTTTTCGTTTAAGCGCTGTGACCAAAAAAGTATTTTTTTTAAATGGAATAATCTATTTTTAAATCAATTTTTCAAACGTTCCTATTTTTCTCATTTCAAATACAGGGTGTCCCACGAGGTTCCTCCCAAATGATCATTTCGGAACGCATCATCGTATGTTCCACTGTCTAATTTTCTGTCATATCCTTTAACAAAGCCTCAACAAATATGGCAAATTTGATTTTGTAATTTAATTTTCTAACGAAAAATACCATAATATACCATGAGTTACATTTAAGATTCGAAAGTTGTCGTCACTTGACCGAAATTGAAGCAAAAATGGTAAAATTGGATGACAATGGTAGAAGCGGCACAAAAAGTTACCCAGATCCTCAAAATTTCAATTATATTGGATGACGCGTTCCGAAGTTATCACCTGGGAGAAACGTCGTGGGACACCCTGTATATAGTTTGTTTATCTTTATTTTAAACATTTGCGATATATTCTCATTTCAAAATTCAAATATAAATAGCCGAAAAGGTATCAAGGTAAATCTAAATAATTTAACCTTTAATAAAGCTGCTGGTGTGATTTTTGAAGTGAGAATATATCGCAAATTTTCAGAATAAAGATAAACCAACTATAATAGGTATATTTGAAATGAGAAAAATAGGAACGTTTAAAAAATTGACTTAAATATAGGTTATTCCATTTAAAAAAAATTACTTTTTTGGTCACAGCGCTTTAACGAAAAATCTAATTAAATTTCGAAAAACCTTCTCAAATAAAGTCTGTTTTTTTTTTAAAGATAATTCCCCAAGTCAAAAATTTAGTAACTATGTTGGCAACACAAGCCTTTTCTACATAAAAAATTTGAAAGCATTGACAATTTTACATTGTATTGCCAACATAATGTCATTTTGACTTTTATCTTTAAAAAAAAAAACAGATTTTACCTAGAAACAAAATACACCAAATAGCTATCTTGATTTTTTCAATAATTTTTTTTTTTTCCAAAAGGTAGGGGGTGTTCACTTTATACTGGATCACCCTGTACATTAGTCTATCTAAAACACGTGACTTTGACAAGCAAACAAAAAGTTTGTGTGCCTCTTGGCGGACATTTCAATTTAGATTTGACAGCATCTTGGATAGTCTAATATTATGTATCATCAATTAATAAAACATATTTTTAAAAAATTTGTATTTTTACTTGATGGGGGCGGTAAACAGTACATTTGCCTAGGGAGCCAAAGTCGCTTGCGCCGATCCTGCCTGGAAATCGGGGGCGACTGAACACCGGAGCGAGTAGCTCGAGTGTTTCAAACTTGAAAGGAATACAACTATAAACTGGCACATTACCCTATTCCGCCGGTCGGCGCAACGCGATCCGAATAGTCCGAGTCCGTACAACGCAACGTAGACAACGCAAAAGTGGTCCGGACTCAAACTCGAACTTGGACCTGTTTATTTTGCAGTGGATCAGTTTGCAGCAGTCTCCACTGTGAAAATCAGTTCCGAGGGATCAGTTTCGGTATAAGGCAGCCATCCCTACCATTGATTAGAACCTATCTTAGATTAGGGAAGAGAGTGGATGCGTAACAACTCAAGGGCATTTGTTACCACCTGCCACATCGCCGATAATTATCAATTTTCGATTTATTTTTTTTAAAGGTATTAATGATAAGAAACTTAATTTTACAGATTAATAAAAATACCTTATGTAATTATTTTTCAGGACAATTTGATATTTAAAAAACTTATGGAGCTATGCTATGCGCGACCAATCAAAATACGTCGTTGCAAGTCACGTGATTTTTGAATTTGACATGACATGATTATATTTAATAATATTTATGTTTTTGTTATGAAAACAATATTGACGTGTCTCGTAATACCTGGTGTGCGCGCGCAACTCGTGGGTTGCAGGTGAGCGTCCAATGAAAATCGAGTTTGTTATGGGCTTGTGTCATATTCGTATTCAGGGACGAGTTCAGAATTAATCGTTCCTTCTTTCTTTGTAACGTGTAGGGTAAATAAGCCAGTAGTCGGCCACTTAACACCATCTTCTACTAATGATAAATTTAAAAAATATTATTCAAGAATTTAACCTAACGTTATTGTACCATCATAGGTATTGTTAGGTTATGTCCCTATAGTCTCCAAAACTCAAAAACAGCATAAGTATGTACATAAAAATTAGAAAAAAATAAATAATGAAAATATACAATTTGCCCAGTACTCGGCCGTCAAAAATCCAATGTCGGCCAATCGCCAACCAGTAGTCGGCCGATTTATTTTATTCCAACGCCAAACTTTTTATCTGTTTTAATGATAAATTTCACCAGAAATTCAGGAAATTGGGAAAATTAAACACAGAATTTATTTATTACAAAATTATTTGTGCACCTTAGGGATTAATGGCCGTTTGCACCGACCATTTTGAGGAAGCCTTAGCGATAAGTATTCCTTAAAGTCACATTTCTCCATGTAAAAATGTCATTTTATTTACGACTAATGTATAATGTGCGTATTATATTTGTGATTTTGGCAGTATAATGACATATGTTATTCCTCCAGGGATTAATGACGAGTAGCGGGATTAATGGTCATTATTCCACAAAAGTGTCAGTGTCAAACGTGTAGTGCTTGTGGATTTGTATTGAAAATTATGAGACGGATGAAATTTATTCATTGAAAATCTCAAATAAATTAATTTGTCGTAAATAAAGTAGAGTATACTACTCGCAATAATGGCTATTATTCTCTCGGAATGTTACTCCCTCGCCGCTAACGCGGCTCAGTTCGTAATAATCCTCGGGAATAATAGCTATCATTATTGACTCGTGGTATAATCTACTAATATTTACGACTGACATATAATGTAAGTATTATATTTGTGACTTTGGCAGTATAATGCCATATATTATTCCCGCAGGGATTGATGGTCATTATTCCCGCTTGCACACCAATCACAGAATTTCTCAAATTAAATAATTATTGCCATGGAAATAATATAACTGAACAAACTCAAAAGTGTCAGTGTAAAACGCGTAGTGCTTGTGTATTTGCATGTATTTGTATTGAAATGGATGAACAAAGAGCGTTTTTGGAAAGAAAATTTCAAATAAATTAATTTGTCGTAAATAAAGTAGAGTATACTACTCGCAATAACGGCTATTATTCCCTCGGAATGTTATTCCCTCGCCGCTAACGCGGCTCAGTTCGTAAATAGTCCTCGGGAATAATAGCTATCATTATTGACTCGTGGTATAATCTACTATTAAGGAATACTTATCGCCAAGGGTTCCTTAAAATGGTCAGTGCAAAAGGCCATAAAATTACCCCCTGTAGTAATGTAAAAGTAATCCTTGTTTTAAGGGAGTAAAGTGGGCCCTTAATCCCCGGGATTAAATTTCACCTTATTTCCTAAAGGGATTAAATTTTCACTTTATTTCCCGGAGATTGAATGAAACAGGGAATGAAAGGGTACTTTTAATCCCTCTAAAGTACATAAAATAGTCTATACACCTCAGGACTAAGTAACTTTTCGATGTTAAGTCAGCTAAATTGTTTGTCTTTTTTTCTTCTATTTTTGTAGCTTTTGTTGCGTCTTTGGTTCCTTTGGCTTTTTTCCTATTTTCCTTGTTTTCGTCTTTTTTTCTGGTTTTGTTTTCACCAACTTTTGTTGCGTCTTTGATTGCTGTTTCTATTTTCTTTGGTTTCGTCTTTTTCTCCAATTTCGTTTTTATTATCTTTCGTTGATGCGTCTTCGATTCCTTTTACTTTGTTTCTATTTTTCTTGATTTCGTCTTTTTTTTCGGTTTCGTTTCCATTATCTTTCGTTGCGTCGAAGCCAAAGGAAACTTTGGCTTCGCCTTTATTTTTCTTTCTTTGTTCTCTCCTCCGGGCACGTTTTTATTATCTTTTATTGCATCTTTGATTTTATTGGCTCCGTTTCTATTTTCCTTGGTTTCGTCTTTTTCTTCAGTTTTGTTTCTTTTATCTTTCATTGCGTCTTTGATTGCTTTGGCTTCGTCTCTATTTAAGACAAAAGATCAACACTTCCTGTTAAGGTAGCAATATCAATGAGAAAATAATATGGCCGAACTCTGGTTGTAGTAATCCCAAAGTCGGCCTGTAATAAAATCGTTTTAGTTAAAGGCGGCCGACTATCGGATTTTGGTGAAAATATTGTATATATTTAGATTTTAATAAATTACCAAAAGTAGTCTTTAATAAAATAGCTAATATGGTCTAATTTTGCGAAATCAAAAATAATCCTATAGTCGACCGGGCGGCCGACTATATAGGTGGCCGGCTTTTTGCGTACCCTATGGTCGGCCACTTGAAAATAAAGGATGTTCATATTATTTTTTCATGTTTTTAGGCTGGTTAGTAAATTTAATCTTAAATTCCATGCAATCGCAAACTTGGATGTAAAAAAGTTTAATAAGCCGGAAATTGGTATTTTCTACAACCTCCCTAACAAGCAAAATCGTTTAAATTTGCTTACCTCTATGAACACGACGTGCACCACAATTTTCACCTGTCATTGTAAAAAAACGGTGTTGCCGGACTGTGATAAAATTCTATGGATTAGGTAGAATACACATTAAACGAATTTTTAAATGTGTAGGTTTTTGATTTTATGGACGGAATCAACTAATATTTATATAAAATTGCAACAACGGCCGACTACCGGGTGGGGGCCGACTATAGGCGTATCTACCCTAGTTCGACAAAGAGCAAACTAATACTTCACGTATTACTTGAACTTATTGCAGTGTCGTTTAAGGTTATATTAGATTATACTTGACATAATTCCTTTGCAAATTTTGCAATTTCATTGTGTGATGTTGCCGAATGAAAAATGAAATATTTATCAAAATAAAAGTACCATCGATGTTGACATACACTTTAAAGCTCTTCTTTTGTCTGATTTAAGGCGTTGTAAAACACTTGATATCACTTCTTCAAGGTTATAATGATCAACTTGTATTGTCAATAATTTGTTTGCAACAATACAATCTGGCTACACTGCAGCCACGGGTTGCGCGCACATGTCATTTTTTATTACTTTCTAACTTGTATTTATTACAATAAGGCTCTTTTTTTATACTTCTGCGAGACACGTCAATTAGGCCTTTTCATGCATCCGTTTTCCGACGAAATATGTCCGAAAAATCTTCTATTTTGACATATTTTTATACGATTATGTCAGAATAGAATGTTTTTCGGACATCTTTCGTCGGAAAAACGGATGCATGAAAATCCAGCTTTAAACTAATGAAACCTCAAGTGCCTAATTCACAGTGAAAAAATCAAAATTTGCAATCAAATAAACACAAACGGAACAAATAAAAACAACTCATCTCATAACCTACAAAATGGAAAAATAATAATAAATGTTGATGTATGACAAGATTGCTTTAATTTGATTGGTCGAACGCCCTATGGTTTAGGTTTTGTGTCTTTTGTCTGGTTTTGCATAGACCCACTAGCGTAGCCAGGATTTTGTCTTGGGGGGGGCAAATTTGCAGGAACGCTGCCGGAGGACGGCAAAGCGCCGCAGGCGCGAAATTTTTGGGTGCCACGCCCCTTTTTTAAGGTTCTTTACGGTATTTTTGGGTCTGTTTATTTTAATTTTGAAAAATTATTTATAAAATTTGAAGGTTTTGGCCTGCATAGACCATTACGTATGGTCGTATGGTATGCTATGCGTTATGCAAAGTTGTCTGGGATGGCCTTTAGCTTAACTCCCTCCCCATCAAATTCTGGACCTGCAAGTGACGTCACTATTAGCAGACTATAAGTGTTGACGTCACCCGCAGACCTCGATGGAATGCTTGCGATTCAGGCTGTGCTGGTGAGTTAATTTTTTTGGTCGATTTTAAATGTAGAAAAGTCGATTTTCAGTCTGTTCTCACAGAAGAAATTACGTGTTCTTGATCCTCGAGTATCCCAGAGTTTGATGGTGGGGGAGTTAGGGGAGTATGACACAAGTGGCACATCGCATAATCCAGCAAAAGATTATGCTTAGTTATCCTCGCGAAACATTGCCTACTATGCAAAGTAACGCCATTTCAGAAGTTAACTGATTTTTAGTGCAATTACGATGAACTAAATTGAAGCTATTAGTGCATGAAGGTGTTAAGTCACTTTTTAACAATTTTGAAATATTTAGGGTTAAAGTAAAATTGTTGGAGCTTTTTCGTCAAATGACTATTGCGTTGCTCTGGCAGGGGCGTAGCCAGCAGGGGTGGAGACGGGGGAGCCTCCCCCCCTGGGCGCAGCTGGCACAGGGGCGCCAAAATACAGGGTGTATATTTTAAGTGATACCACTATTACTATATCCGAAACGGTAAGAGCTACAAGGTCGGTTAAATTAGAGAAAAGTTGCCTTTTTTGATGCCCATTCAAAACTTGTTTACAGTGTTGTCAAATTCCTTTTAGTTTATGAAATACAGAGTGATTTCTTAAAAACGCCAAAAACTATTTCATCAACTATTTCAAAAACTATTGATATTCGAGACACAATTTAAATTTGAAAGTTTTATAATTTTTTTCGCTCTACGACATGGCATCTTCAAATTTTAAACCCGACGTTTCGTGATCGAGCTTCCATCATCAACTTAATTTTTTTTAATACGGACCTTGTCTTTTTATATCATTTTTACAAAGGGAATAAAAGGCACTTTCTAAAAATGACATAAAAAATCCAGGTCCGTATTTAAAAAAATGAAGTTGATGATGGTAGCTCGATTACGAAACATCGGATTTGAAATTTGATGCACCATGTTGTAGAGCGAGAAAAATTAAAAAACTTTCAAATTTAAATTGTGTCTCGAAAATCAATAGTTTTCTAAATAATTGATGAAATAGTTTTGGGCGTTTCTTAGAAATCACCCTGTATTTCATAAACCAAAAAGAATTTGACAATACTGTAAACGATCCTTAAATGGGCATCGAAAAAGGCAACTTTTTCCTAATTTAACCGACCTTGTAGCTCTTACCGTTTCGGATATAGCAATAGTGGTATCACTTAAAATATACACCCTGTATATAAGTGCAAAAAAAAAAAAAAAATCTTAGACAAAAGGCAAGTTTCCGAGTAGGTAATTAAATACTATTTTACAACATTTATAATTTAGAAAGGATAGTATTTTTATGCTAATTCAACATGCAACCGGAGGCTGCAGTGCGCCCGGAATCATATTCGGATTCTGAATTCAAAAATTGAAAAAAAAACAAATGACAGCTGTCAAAATGTGACGTGCATGAACTTTGTTCAATGTTTTATCACCAAAAAACTACCTTAAAACGAGAAAGGACCAGATTAGAGTATTTTTTTCTACTAAAACAAATGACAGGTTCTGACAGTTCTGTCATTTTTTTTTTTCAATTTCTGAATTTAGAATTTACATATAAGTTAAAAATGTCAAATGACAACATAAAATATTGAAAACTGGAAAAGATGAGTGCTGCCGTTTGGCAAGGTTTTGACAGGTGTAAAAATGGTTGACATTTTTCGACTTAACTTGGTCGACTTAATAGAAATAGATTTTTTGTTCATCAAAATCTGCCATAGTTACTCTGCTTTTGGATATAAGATTCCAATATTTGACAGCTAACCACGCCTCACCTGTCATATATACAGGGTTGTGCTCATGGTAAAAAATGTTGCTTACGGCATCCAAAATAACATATTTAAATTTCATCCAAATATCACGGGTAACCAATTTCCATTTAAATATTGCGGGGTCCTTTGTATTTGTTTTTGCTTTAGTTCCAAATAGCTACAAATATGGACAGTAAAATCACAAAAATCAAGAAAACGAAACGGTTGCAACCTTAACCTCTAAAATGCTGAATTTTTCGTACGCGAAAAGTTGAACTTTGTTCAACTTTTGGCGTATCTGCGGCAGAATAACAGCGTATCCAATATGGCGAAATTTTGGCCAATCAGAATTCTGCATTCAGGTACGCTGTCACGCCATAAATGTCAAATTACGCTCATGAGAAGCCGCCCTCAAGGAGCGACAATAGGTGGGTTCGGCTTGCTCACTCCGTGCACTCCGAGTGACTCTATTCGCACTCCAGCCGTTCGAGTTAAGGTTCGGGTATTGCTTTTTACTAATTAGGGGTGACTCCATTAGCTCTGTTCACTCCACTCCAACTCCGCGCTGAATAGCCAAACCCAGCTTAAGCCTAGTACTCATAACTGCGAAATTCGCATTTTTTTTGACATTGCGTTGACAATTTGACGTTTTATGCGTGTATCAAACGTCAAATTGTCGAAGCAATGTCAAAAAAATGCGAATTTCGCAGTTATCAGTACTTGGCTTTATAAATAATTTGGCCCTGAGTCGGGCTTGAGCAGTGAGCACTCAGGTGCAACAAACACTTTTCGAAAGGAATAAACGCGTAACGCCCCGGAGCTGCTCCGTGTGAAAGGAATACAACTATACAACTAGGTGCGAAAGGAATAGTGTTGTATTTCTTTGAAGAGCTTGAAACACTAGAGCTGCTCGCTCCGGTGTTACTCGACCCCGATTTGAAAGGAACAGATGCGCTGGCTTTCGCCCCGGAGCTGCTCCGGAGCTGCTCCATGTGAAAGGAATACAACTATACAACTATTGTTGTAGGTTAGAATTTCAACCAAAGTAAAAAAAAGTTGGAAATTTGAAATTTTAAATTTTCCCGAAAAGATAAGGAACTAACTTAAGCCAAATAATGGCATCAGTGGCAAGAATTGCGAGATTTGCTTGCCGAAGAAACGTTTTAAAATACGCAGAAAACAGTGTAAATAGAAGATCAGGGAGACTGTCTTTGCACAAGCACATAGGTAAACACCATGCAATTTAATGATTTTTCTTATATTAGCAAAATTTATGAGCTATATCCTATTCACAATCCGATGTCCTCAGGTACAGGTAAATTTATCACCTTTCCCTATCAAATAGCAATGAAAGGTGATAAATTTTACCTGTACCTGTGGACATCGGATTGTGAATGGATAAATATGAGCTATGTTTTGGTAAATGTTATAAATTAAAGGTAACTATTTTTATAATTTGCGAGGCGCTCGTAAGTACCTTTTTGTTAAGTACATTTCTTGCTCAGCCTTATCTTTTAACATAACCCCATTTTAGTAGTATGGTTTTTTAGTGGAGCCACACAAGCAAAGGCAAATTAAAACTCGAATTAAACATGATATTTTTCAACAAAAACCTTATCCATTAATTTTGAGAGAAAATTACTAAATTACTGTGTATGTACTTCTCTCTATAGTGTCTAAAAAGGTGAATAAAAGTAGAAACAGTATTCGGACAGAAAAAGTAAACTACAATGCAGGCCCACAACAAATTCATCACAAAAGTTAAAACTCGAGTTAAAATTAAAGAAGAGCCCCTTTCAGAAAACGAATCTTCTCCAAAAACTCCCAGAAAAGGAACAGCTACTGAAGACTTGGCACAACTTGAGCAGGGAAGGACTAATTTATCTGCTGCTTAGCACAGTTAATGGTCAGAAAACTCCTAAAAATGAAAAAAGAAATTCGCAATTGAAAAATGGTTCCAAAACAGTTCCAAAATCAATAAAAAAATGACAATCAAGTCAATCCAGCCTCAGAGGCGAGTCCAGTAGTTAAAGCCGGGCTCAGACGACTCGTGTACTTGGCGAATACACAATTATTCGCGTACTTGGCAAGTATACGAGCTTTGCGAATTGCGATGGCAAGCAGGGCGTTCACATGAAGCCGGACTCAAACGACTCATGTACTTGGCGAATAATCGTTACTTGCGTATACTTGCATGTCGTCCGAGTGGGTCACTTGTACAATTATTTGTCACTCGCTGGTTTTCCATTTCTTATCGGTAAAAATGTCCTGAGTCAAAGGGATCACGATTATTCGTACACTTGCCAAGTTCATACTTGTCTATATTTGTAGAGGCGCTCAAACGGTATGCACAAATAATTGGCTTTTACTGCGACTATTTCATTTAGTTTTTGACTGGCAGAAGCGTAGTACAGAGGTTTTGTTTGTTTTATCTTTAAAAATCTACTTTTATTTAATGATACCTTCCACCATCTTCTTCTTCTCTGTTTCTTTGCTTTTAATTTAATTAAATAAGCAGAGCTCATCACAACAAAAGTGGTGGAAGCAACGGCGATATTTTCCAGATGACCGCTATCGATATTGACTGCCACACCACTGTGCTCTAGTCATTTGTCAAGGTTTAGCCAGATGTTCGCGCTAGCGTAATTGTAAATTGTAACACGTCGTGTGAGCGTCCTGCTTGCCATCGCAATTCGCAAAGCTCGTATACTTGCCAAGTACGCAAATAATTGTGTATTCGCCAAGTACACGAGTCGTCTGAGCCCGGCTTGACGTGTTACAATTTACAAGTACGCGAGCGTGAACATTTGGCTAAACCTTGACAAATGACTAGAGCACAGTGGTGTGGTAGTCAATATGGATAGCGGTCGTTTAGAAAATCTCGTTGTTGCTTCCGCCGCTTTTGTTGTGATGAGCTCTGCTTATTTAATTAAATTAAAAGCAAAGAAACAGAGAAGAAGAAGATGGTGGAATAAGGTATCATTGAATGAAAGTCGATTTTTAAAGATTAAACAAACAAAACCTCTATACTACGCTTCTGCTAGTCGAAAACTAAATGAAATAGTCTCAGTAAAAGCCAATTATTTGTGCATACCGTTTGAGCGCCGCTACAAATATAGACAAGTATGAACTTGGCAAGTGTACAAATCGAGGGGTGAATAGCTCTTGCAGTCGGTGTACATATTTCTCACAATCTTCACACAATCATTCACAATCGTTCACAATTTGTCACAATCGTTACACAATCTCACACAATCTGTCACAATCGTTACACAATCACACAAAATCTCTCACATTCGTGTCACAATCTCCCACAATCGTTGCACAATATCTCACAATCGTTACACAATCTCTCACAATCGCTCCACAATCTACCACCATCTGTAACATGTGGGGCCCCTCCAAATAGTTTAATTTACTTCATTATCGCCCATAGCTATAAGCCTGTTTGATGAGCTGACCGCCATAAATTTAATTCAAGCAATCGTGACATTTTTCATCAAAAAACTGTTTTTTGTGTATTTTGTGGTGCTTTTAGATGATTTTCTAGTGTTTGAGAGGATAATTTTCGTATTCTAAGATGGAAAGTTTTTAGTTTAAGAAATTATTAGTAGAAAAAAGGCATTGGCCTCCATTTTGAATTACCGAAAAGAAGTCACCTCAGATGGCTTAAGAATCCAGACCTAGATGTTGTAGGATAAAAAAGATACTTCAGAATAAATTTCACTTCATGGTTACCACTTTTTCTCTTCTACACTATGGCATTATGGAATTTGAAATCCGACGGGCCAACATCATCCACTTTATTTTTTTGAATACAGCTCTTGATTTTTTCTGTATGTAGTTCTTTGCTGGATGACTTCCTCAATGGAATGGTGTATCAAATAATCGATATAATGATCATTTCAGTCTAAAAAGTATGATAATTTGTATGGAGATACCTGTTATCTTCGTCAAACAAAAACAATTTACCCAATTAATATATTTGCTATAAAATAATGAGTTTGACAAAGATGAGTAGGTATCTCCATACAAATTATATATTTTTTTGATTGAAATGTTCATTTTTTGCCCCAAATTGACTGACCCTGTATCTCTTATGGATACCGAGATCCGCATACTTTCTCGCGAATTTGTAACACCCTGTATATGGTCCAATCCATTTTAAAAATTATCAATCATCCATTTACACTATCAAGGTTTGAGTCACAAAAAAATAACAATATTTTTTAGCAAATAAAAGCCTAATTTGAAAAAAGTATCTATCTCACAACAAATTCCTTCAATAATTTGTCATCATATTCCTGTGTTATTGTTACTGTCTGTCACGTCTGTCTGTGATGATTTTTTTAAATTCAAACACGTGGTATATACAGGGTGTCTCCGTTCAACTCATCAAAAATGCTAGGATTTATAGAGGAACCATAGAGAAGTAGTTTGAGATAGAACATCGATGGTCGAAATTGCGTCGTTTCGAAAATACATGGTGTTGAAATTTAAACAACCTGCTTTCATAATCTGAAGGGCTAATGCTAGGCTGTTCAAATTTTCAGGGATTATTGAAGTAGAAATGATATTCAAAAATTCGTATAGTGCACCTTCATTTTCTACCTGGAACAACCCCAAAAAAAATAAAAAATTTATTTAGAGAAAAATAGTTATTTATGTAACAAGTGTGTAAAGTGAACCTTTTTTCACGAATGTGAATTTTGACGCACGAGCCGAAGGCGAGTGCGACAATCACATGAGTGAAAAAAGGGGCTTTACGCATGTATTGCATACAAAATTTTTTCTACTACCAATCAAATATGTGTAAAAAAATGAATTTAGACAAATACTTTATGCACTAGTGCGTGAAGAATTTTCACTTTACGCACTAGCGTGTGAAGTAATTTAGAAAAATGTCAAATTGTCAGTGTTGACATCTGTCATTGACATTACTTTACGCACTAGTGTGTGAAGTGAATTACTTTACGCACTAGTGCGTGAAGTGAAATCTTCTGAATAGTGCGTAAAGTGAGTACTTTACGCATGCTAGTAGAAAATTTTTTTTTTAGTACCCATAAAATATTAGTAAAAAAATAAACTTAGACAAATACTTTACGCGCTAGTGCGTGAAGTATTTTCACTTTACACACTAGTGCGTGAAGTAATTTACCAGAAAAATACCAAATTGACAGTTGTCGACATCTGTCATTGACATTACTTTACGCACTAGTGTGTGAAGTGACATTTAAAGTCTTCTGAACAGTGTGTAAAGTAAGTACTTTAGGCACGGTAGTAGAAAAAAACAATTTGTTTCAATTTTTTTTTTGGGTGGTTCCAGGTAGAAAATGGGGGTGCATTGAAAGAATTTTTTTTTACTACTTACCTGAGAAATAGTCATTATTCAATCTATTTTTCTTGGAAAAAATTGAATTTCTCTCCCTAGGTGAATAATGAAAATAATGAAAAAGTCCCTAGGTCAATAATGAAAATGACGTCATGACGCAAGGATATTGTCATGTTTCTATTGGTCCAATTTCAATTTCATGCGTCAATTTAAAACAAAATACAGGTTTCTGTAGGTACATAGGAAGTTATTATAAGCTGTTGATAGAGGGCAGCACTTTCAAGAGGGCGTTCAAAAAAAAATAATTAGAGCACAGATTTTAAGCAAATTTTTTATTTTCTACTAGCAGTAGTAAAAAAAATTCTATATATTCCTCGGTAGAGAAAGTCATTATATACCTCACGCATTATAAACCTCGGCGCTTTGCGCCTCGGTTTATAAAAGCGCTCGGTATATATAATGACCAACTTCTCTACCTAGGTATATAATATACTATTAAATATCCTTCCTACATCAATACAGCCTAGCATTAGCCCTCCAGATGATATGAAAGGGGGTTGTTTAAATTTCAACACCCTGTATTTTGGATAACCTAGCATTTTTGATACCCTGTAATTGAAAAATTTAGATTTTATAGGTGACGCAGAGGAAACGCATGTTTCAAGTGCGATGAACAACTTTTAAGAGGGGTTGAAGATGTGTGACCCCAAAGCAGGACGACACTTTTTGACTGAAATTATTTTTCATTATTAATTGACTCGTTTATTGAGAAAAACACGATTATTACTTCCTTTAGCTGTTCCTAATCGAGTACTTAATTGAAACAAAATTATCTTGGAAATAAAAAATTTTAACTACGTGAAAAACATGCTTTTCCTCTGCGCCACCCTGTACAACTGCTCAATCAGAGCACTGTGTAAAAGAAAGATAAAAAAACTCAATATTCTTTTTATTTATTAATTTAGTTTTGATATTTTGTTATTTTATTCTAACTCAATTATTATACGAGTCCTCATTCTTGAAACAGGGGTCAATGATATGTAAATGATAATATACGTAATAAAGACGGAACACTCGTTCTCCCGGGAATGCTGCTTCCCTGTTTCAAGAATAAATACCCAGAGCTGTTTTCTCGCGTTCACTTTTTTGAAACTGTATCAAAACAGGTTTGAAACAGTATATTCTCGCGATGAACCCATGACGTCACATCAAAATTGGTCAAACCATATCGAAATACAATACAATCCACATTTTAAAACCATTTTCTCGCGCCGAGAAGTTATGACGTCATGTGACATTGTTTTAAACCAGTTTCAGAAACGTTTTAAAACATTTGACACATGAAAAAACACCTATTGTCTTAACACAATCATTCGCAATTCTTACACAATCAGTCACAAGTAGTCACAATCGTGACACAATCATTCACAATCGTGACACAATCAGTCACAATCGCTCACAATCAGTCACAATCGCTCACAATCAGTCACAATCGCCCACAATCAGTCACAATTCTTATACAATCATTCACAATCGTACACAATCACTCACAATCGTACAGAATCGCACACAATCTTAGCAAATTTCCTCAGAGATTGTGGAATTTGGCAGTCGATGTACACATTTTGGGTCAGCTATTCACCCCTCGGTACAAATAATCGTGATCCCTTTGACTCGGGACATTTTTACCGACAAGAAATGGAAAACCAACAAGTGACAGACCCTATTGACTAGCCCTAAGTTATGTGTCTATAATTTATTTTGTATTGCGTATTGCTAAGATTTAGAATTTAGGGTTAAATTTATATTTTTTAGGCTTTGTCAATGAGTTTTTTCTTTAGACAATAAAGCGTTATTTGATTGATTGATTGATTGATTGAGATAATTGTACAAGTGACCCACTCACACGACATGGCAAGTATACGCAAGTAACGATTATTCGCGAAGTACACGAGTCGTTTGAGTCCGGCTTCAGAAGAAGAACCAGAAGTGAAAGTGGCTAACAAAAAATCAAATTCGTTTCCAAAACTAATGAATGCTCAACAGTCAAGTGAATCTGGAAGAAATGTAGAAGAAGGACTAAAAATAGCTAACAAAAAATCGGTTGTGGTTCCAAAAACAATAAAAACCCTACACTCAAGTGAATCCAGAAATAGTTCAGAAGAAGAACCAGAACCAAAAACCGGTAACAGAAAATAAGTGATTGAAGAATAACTCAAACTCAAGTAATAATAATTATTATTGTTATGCGAAAAACAATAATAGCTGTAAGCGAATATCACAGTAGATATATTATTTCTTACGACGCAAATGCGCGGAAGTGAAGTTTTGAGAAAAATGCAACAATCTGCAACAATTATATAATTATTTTATATTGTGAACCATTTATTAATTAAAAAAGTCCTGCATGGGATCCTGCAGCTCAACTGCCTTGGTCTCTTAACTCTATGCTGTTGTAGATAAAAAAAATTGTATTTACTATGTAATACTGTGATAGGAAACTCCTTTTACCAAGACTTTTAGAAATTATTTCGTAATCTACGGAGTGGTTCGAAAAAAAGTTTCAGACTAAAGTGATTAAATTTTAAACAAAACACCCTGTATATTCTGCAATTTTTCGTTTAAAAATATTGAACATAGAATATTATTTGTTAATTACATATTATGTCACATGCCAAAATTCAATTGCTTTTACTTTGGGCACTCAATTTCATACATCAACAATACTTATTTATTCTTTAAAACTCTATATTTTTTTTCCAATATTTAAAAAGTCACTTCAACCTATCTCGAAAGGTCCAGTTCCCAGTTATTTCAAAGGAACATAGAAAAAAATTGCTTATCAACTGTATCTGTGTCATTAGATCTAGGCCATACGAATTTTTCCAATTCTTGTTTTAAAAATTTTATTTAAAAATTATCTAGCTCTACCATCTGAATTACACGTCCAACAAACCACTGTGCTTCATAGCTGACAGCATAATAGCTCTCCATTTTTATCATCACCATCAAGAGCAGGAAAATTATCCTCAACTTCACTCTCTGTTTTTGACTCATCTTCTGAGGACTCTGAGATACTTAAGTATATAGGTAGTTCTATCGACTGTCACAAAAAGATTAGTTTTACGGATTCAATATCATCCCTAAAGTATATATTTTTTGGCCGCATTTACTTTACGGCCGCATTTACTTCACGGCCGCATTTGCTCTATCACTTTACGGCCGCTTTTACTTTACGGCCGCTACTTTGGTGAAAATATACATATAGACAGACAATCGAAAACGCGGTGCCGTAACCATAAACACAACCAATAAACAATTAGTTAGCAACCACAATGGAACCAAATTTTTGATTTTAGCCCTATCCTATTACTTTTTTAAAAAAGCACAATGTAGGATACCAGGCGAAAAAGTCGGCAATTTTCTATAATCACACTTCCTTTATCGTAGTTTTTGTTACTAATAATTATGTATCTACCTATCTTTGCTGGATTTTTTATCTAATCAATAAAAGTTTAAAGCTACTGTTGAATTTTTCGTCTTTTTTCCAGAACAAACACTCGCCTAAAAAATTTTGTGTGCACCTCGGCCGAATGATCTTTTTTGGCCTCACCTGAAATTTGCTTGGCCTCGGCTACGCCTTGGCCGCAAATTTTTGATTCGGCCAAAAAAGATCAACTTTACGGCCTTGGTACACAAATAACTATTTTCGAATGCAATTTCACGTGATCGAGAATGGGAGCTTCCAATAAATCTTCTGAGGCGATCACTACTTACCCGGCCATTACTGTCACTTAACAACCAACATAGAGACGAGTTTTTCATTACAGTTGTTTTGTCTTTAAGGTGAACTTCAATGTAAGCTGATTTTTGGGAGATATCTTTCACCTCATCAGAATAATCTTGTAAGTCTAAAGAGTCTCTGGTGCTTTTGCTCTTAATTTGTAACATCTCATGATATTGCTCTGCAGGTACTTCAGCTATATTCCCATTATCAATTTCCAGATCTTCAAGGTCACGACCTTTTACATGTTCTTGATTGTCGTCCGCTATAAATTGTGCGTTGAAATTTAGGAAATCGCGGGAAATGAGAATTCTGATTTTGAAAATAACACTCATTTGTTGCTCCTGTATCCATATGATACCATGTCGAATTTCAACTTATATTCACACAAGTATTCACATCAGCACTCAGACCTGATGATAGCCTCATTGCCTTTAAAAGATGTGTGTCTCCATCTGACGAGTAACCAACAATGGCAATCCCATATTTTTCTGCTTCAGTTTTCAAGAATTTCCATCTCAGTAAGACATCTGTATAGGTGAATCTGTTAGCAGTACCGAACATACTTAAACAATATGATGGTGTTTTAACACTTGTATCAAAATACTGCTGTAAAGTTTCTGCTGACGATGCAATAAACGTGTTCTCCTCAGGCAGGCCATTTTTTAATGGTAGTACAAATCCTACCACTTTGTTGGATATAGGTTCATATTCGATTCTTCCATTAACCCGCGTGCCATCTTCAGACATCGAAGCTATCTTTGGAAGTTTTCTCCTTTCTAGAAATAGATTTAGTCCTTTGAAATCGAAACTACCTTCTTCTAGTCTGGTGCCTTTATTTTCAACGAATCTATGAAGTGTTGATATCTATGGCAAACTACTTTTCAAATTTGAATATAAGGTTTGTGTAAAAAAGTGTGTGTGAAAAAGATAAAGAACTACTTTCTTTGTGAATTCATTAAATGAGTTGTTGTTAAATTTTTTCCCTGAATTCTCCTTCTCCATCGGGTTGGATAGAAGTTTGTGTAAAAATGAAGATAGATAGGTACCAAGGTAGGTACTGTTTTTGCTCCTCGAGGCCCGAGGGATTCAGGTGATGAGTCTCGTGATAGGTTTTCTATTAACTTGTTTACAGATTTTGATTTCTGGACAATGGCATCTGTCAAATCTGATGTTAAAGAATTGCAGATTTTTTTCTACAAACAAAGTAATCCACAGATTAACCCCTAGGAGGAGTTAATCTGTCATAAGACTTAGACTTAGATGACCTTTTTCTCTTGCCCTCTTCATTCGCTCTGATCTTTGATACCTTAAAGTTTTCCATTTTTGACTCCCAGTATGATCTTGTCGAGATGATTCCTCGGATGGTTCAAAAATTGATTCAACATCTGTAGCTCGTTCGTTTATCGAGGATAAAGAGTTTAGTCCTGATGTTCGTGGTATGGCAATATCTCTTATGATGTTCATTTTTCTGCTAGTATCAGATTTTTTAGTTGGTTTTACTTGAAGAAACCACAGGTCTGGTGAAGGGTTGTCGATTGAAATATCCTCGGAAATATCTGTAGTTGGTTCGTTAAGACTCAACGATTGTTTTGATGAAGTCTGTCTGTAGCAAGGTTGGTGATTCCAATCTTGATGGTGAAGAGACGTGTCGAGGAAAGTCTTGTGTGAAATTTGCTATTTTACTGGTATTTGCTGCTTGAGTATTTTTGGTCTCTTTTACTTTGACAAACGAAAAGATAGTACGGTCAAGTTTTCATGAACGCTGATTTGAACCAGTACTAAGGCGCTGTTTCAACAAATGGGAATAAAAGTTGCCATATATCCATCTTCGAGATGGCGATTCATCATTTGTTCTGCAAACTTTTTGGATTTTTATATTCTTGCCCCAAAAACATGTTATTATGCAATACAGATTATCTCCAGAAGTTTTGGTATTGATCTGAATATTGTCAAAACTTAGTGAGAAGCATTTCTACTGCTCTTGGTCAAATTCAGTTTTAGCCCATTTTTTTAGAGTTGTCAAAATTTGTGCATTTTCAGTCAGCAGTCAAATTCGTGGAAAAGTAACTTTTTTCACTTCCAGTACTTTCTGAGTCGATATCATGGGATTTTTCATTAGTCAACATACTGGTCTTTCAGGCTTTCCTATTCGGTTCAGCTACATCCTGTGGTTTTTGAAGTTTCCCAGATTTGGATCCCTTGTTCTTGAAATATTCAGCGATCATTTTTATGATTTGCTTGTGGCCTCCGATAAATTTGAATATATTAGGTTTATTAGTAAAAGGACCATAGTACTTTTGGTGATCCTCCTTACTTAGGATTCGTGGGAGTTCGCTCCTTGCAAATTCTTCCATCTCTAATAACAAGTTGTCATCAAGTTTGGCCTAAAGAGGAGCATCTTGGTAGCCGTTTAGAGTTAACATATTTTTTACTGGATCTGGAATTCGAATGTCTAGAGCAGACTCTGCTTCGGAAAAAGCATCAGTGTTCACTTGATTCACCTCCTGAAATGATAATAGGTAGCTTCAAGAGATATGGGAAAATAAATCAGATCAATTTCTTGTATGCAACTTGTACTTCGCCTTGTGGTAAGTAGGTATGTCACATTAATACAGCCGAGTTGTAATCGTTGTATAACAGATTTCTATGACAAAATATTTTTACGAAGTTATAGCACATTAAATAGAGCTTTATTGGGGACTTTTTCATGGCCGAGGGAGGCTATAAAATAGAACTAACCCAACCTAAACCTTTGAATATTTACAATAGATAGGGAGTTAATAAGCGCCAAAGAGGGCATAGTTTTGCTTGATGAAAAAACCGCTGATAAATCAAGAAGGGTACATAGTCGATTACATATCATAACGAGTATCATGTCATGTCTCATGTCCAGTAATCTTGATGTTTTATATTTAAATTTATCTTAACTATAGTCTCAACTATTAAGTATTGACCAGATTTTTGAAATAATACGTTTTTTGTATTCGTCTATAAAAAACTATCTTAAAAAGACGTAAGTACCCACGGACGTACCACTATTCAACTTCTTTATCTTTCACGTCCTGCAACCTGAAATGGGCGCTACTAACTCGTAAAATAATAAAGTAATTCGTTTTTTCTATGTGGCTCTAGCACGAAAATGCGTATGTGTAGGTTTAGTGGCATATCTGATTTGAAAACATAATTGAGTTTGCCGAAAGCTACAAGATACCCAGGCCAATCTGATGCGGCGGTTTAGTTCGATGGTTTGGTTATCTCTTCCAAGGCAAATCTCGTGTCCTAGGTATTTGTAAGAAGTAGTCTGATCAATGGCTGTTCCAGCAATGTTTATGCTTTCGCTCAGCAGAGATTTGTCATAATTTGTGTTTAAGACATATTTATTTTCAGTCCTACTTCTAGGTAGGGCTTCGCGAGACCACAAGACTAGTCTTGGTCTTGGCAGCAAGACCAAGACCAAGATTTGACGTTCAAGACCAAGACCAAGACTCTTTCTCGATACTCTCGTCTTGGTCTTGCTCTTGAAAAAAAAAAATCAACTCAATATTTATAAAAATATGCAAATTCCTGTATCTATAATGTCTTTTAATTAAATCAATTCATCTTTATTCTTTTTTCAAATTCACAAGAAGGTATTAGAGGTTTTAAAAATACAACATAGTGTAATGGAAGTCAATCGTGGTTGTTTTGTAAGTAACTTATATTATAACTTTTAGCATTTTTTCAGTTTATTAAAATTCTAATTTGAGAATAATTGATGTTTGTTTGTTCCTCTGTGTTGTGGAATGCTTTATGCGGTATTTTTTGACGTGAAACACTCTTGTTGTTAAAAATAGCCTGTGAAGAAGACCAAATGCATGGTCGAAGCGTCGGCATATTTTTTTCAGAAAGGGAGATTTATTTTTTATTTCTGAAGTCCTAAACCCATTGTCTCTGCGCTGTCGTTATATGTTATGTATATTTGAAAAATTTGGTATAATTTTTTTTCAAAACTATCAAGACCAAGACCAAGTATATCAAGACCAAGACCAAGACTGAGCCAGTCTTGTCTTGGTCTTGAAACTTCAAGACCAAGACCAAGACTGCATTTATTTTTCGAGACCAAGACCAAGACTGGCCAGTCTTGGTCTTGGTCTTAGTCTTGCGAAGCCCTGCTTCTAGGGAGGAGCGGCGGAGCCTGTTCAGTAATTCTTTAGCTTCGTCTATACGGTCCGGTATTAGCACAATATCATCCGCAAATCGAAGGTTAGACTTTCTCCATTTATATTGATACCTATTTGTCTATCGTCCTGTTGGTAAAAAAATGTCTAGTTGGTTTCCAATCCTCACGCCATTTGGTAAGACCCCCAATGTCCACTCCAGTTGGTAAAAAAATATCTAGTTGGTTTCTAATTCCCACGCCAGTTGGTAAGTAAGAGAAAACGGCAGTGTTAATACTTCTAAAATTGACTTAAACACGTTCTAAAAAAAGGAATTTTATAAAGTTTTAGATACCCTAATAAGTTTTTTAAACGATAATTTAACTACTATTTTCAAAAATCTGCGCGGATTCACCTTATTATTTTCATTGGGTACATTCAGGCGTTCCCAGCGGCTAAGCTCAGCCACTCAGCAGGGACCTTATTCTTGAAACCGAGGAACAGCGTTCTCATGAGAACGATTGCTCTGTCATTGTCAGTGTTTTGGAAATATGAATACGGACGACGAACATAGAACCTTCGTTCTCATGAAAACGCTGCTCCCCTGTTTCGATAATAAAGTCCATGCTGAGTGGCTGAACTTAGCCACTGGCACCGCCTGAATGTACCCATTTCCTCTCTCTACACCATTTCAACCTCAATTTAGGAAAAAGTAACTTTTATTTAGGAAAATGTAATGTCATTTTCGGAAAAAGTCAAATCAATTTCAGAAAAAGTGAAGTTAATTTCGGAAAAAGTAAATTCAAATTCGGAAAAAGTGAATTCAAATTCGAAAAAAATACATTCAATTACGGAGAAAGTAATGTTATTTTTTATAGACTAATTTGAACTGATTGAGTCATTTATCTACTTAGAAAAGCAAAACATTTGTCCATATTTCTCAAAGAGACTCGATTTTTAAATAATAAAAGAAAGAAAAAAATTACCAAGTATACAGATTTTATTATTTTATTCTCTTAATAGTGACATGTTTTTCGCTCATATGAGCATCATCAGACCTACAAAGTAATATACAGGGTGTCCCACGGTGGATGGCGTATTAGACGTTTATGGAGAACTAAAAAGCGGATCATTTTGAAAATTTGGCAACCGGGGTAAACAGCCATGATCTACACTTTAAAAATATTTTTGTTTATGCGGTGTTGCCGCTTCTACTCTAAACCAGTGGCAACAACGCTATTTTAAATGGAATACCCTGTATGTGATTACATATTTTGATTTTACGTAAAATTCTGAGCAGATTTCATGTGATATACCCTATACCTAAGTTCAACTGTTTTGGAATTATTGACAGTTGAAAATTGACTTTTTGCAACTTTTACAGGCTGTAAAACCTGAACGGTTAATTTAAGAGAAAAACCAATTTCACATTCCTATCTTACATTTTCATAAACTATCATTTGACACAAACTTTGAATTTACCCGGAGATTAAATTTAATTGGAATTTTTAATCATGGATTAAATTTGAAGTTAGTATCAAATGATAGTTTATAAAAAACTAAGATAGGAATGTAAAATCGGTTTTTCTCTAAAATTAACCGTTCAGGTTTTACAGCCTGTCAAAGTTGCAAAAAGTCGATTTTCAACTGTCAATAATTCCAAAACAGTTGAACTTAGGTATAGGGTATATCACATGAAATCTGCTCAGAATTTTACGTAAAATCCAAATATGTAATCAGATACAGGGGGGTTCCATTTAGAATAGCGCTGTTGCCACTGGTTTAGGGTAGAAGCGGCAACACCGCATAAACAAAAATATTTTTAAAGTGTAGATTATGGTCGTTTATACCGGTTGCCAAATTTTCAAAATGATCTGCTCTTTAGTTCTCCATAAACGTCTAATACGCCATCCACCGTGGGACACCCTGTATGTACACCATTTCAACATCAATTTCGGAAAAAGTAACTTTTATTTAGGAAAATGTCAAGTCATTTCCGGAAAAAGTCAAATTAATTTAAGAAAAAGTAAAGTTAATTTCGGAAAAAGTAAATTCAAATTCGGAAAAAGTAAATTCAAATTCGGCAAAAGTAAGCTATGAATGAATTTACATTTTCCGAATTTGAATTTCCTTTTTCCGAAATTAACTTTACTTTTTCCGAAATTACCATTACTTTTTCTGAAATTGATTTGAGTTTTTCCGGAAATGACTTGACATTTTCCTAAATAAAAATTACTTTTTCCGAAATTGAGGTTGAAATGGTGTACATACAGGGTGTCCCACGGTGGATGGCGTATTAGACGTTTATGGAGAACTAAAGAGCGGATCATTTTGAAAATTTGGCAATATTAATGTCATCCTCATGTTGTGTCTCAATTTTATTTACCTTTTGTTTGATATCATTACTTACGAGATGAGATTGTTTATCGTGAGTTTGATTTTCTTTTTGCCAACTAACCACGTTTGTTATGTCTGACAAAACAGCACTGTTATTATAACAATCGCTTGGATTTTCGTTAATATCAAAGACAATCTCGGCTTCATTGATAATAGTAATTATATCTTCTGAACTTAAGGCTTCATCTAGTTGTCGTGTTCCAATTTCGTTAACCTCGTGTATGGTTTCATTATTTCCGATTCCGGGATGGTATGGTTCATTGTGATTGAGATTTTCAGCACTATTAATACTATTATCAGGATTATCGCTGGCATTATCGTTATCAAAGACATTCTCGACTTCTCTGATGATATTAGAAATATCTTCTGGAGATAAGGCTTCATTTAAAAAAATATTTCCTGATAGTTCAATTTCACTGATTTCTTGAAGAGAATAATCATTTTCTTCCGTATTATTTTTGCTAGAATGTGCTAGTTTGGCCAATTCCAAAATTTTTTTCGGGCGACTAGACATTTTTAGGCAGCAGTACCTCGTATCTTCTCTAGAGCAATGTGGAACATGACCTCGTAACTAACATCTGCAATTAGAAATGGAAAATTTCACGTTAAATCATCAACAATCCAGGAAATTCACTATGGGACTATTAAGATTATTGTTTACCTTGATAATTATCAGCAAAATTTAACCCTACACATTAGTTATTTCACATTATTCACATACTATTCACAAAACCACTCACCCTGACTAGCCTTAAATGGCCCAAACTTAATATTGTTGTAGTTACGAGGTCTTCCTTGACGAAAATATTATGGAGCAGGACCTCGTATCTAACACCTGTAATTAAATGTGAAATTTCACCTAAAATGATTTCCATATCCGGAAAATTATTATGCCAGAATAAAGATTATTGTCTAATTAAACAGTTAATAGCAAAATACAACCCTACACATTAGTTTTTATAATATTTTGATACTAATAATTCTCAAAAGCACTTACCTTGACAATGCCTAAATGGCGCCAACCTGAACAGTGTTGTATTTACGAGGTTATGCTTCGGGAAACCTAGCGCAGTAAGTTACGAGTTACTGTTTTCGTTTATTTTCCCAAATAAATAATTTTTGTAGAATTTTGTCCTTTCGAAAATAGATGGCGCTCACATAAAAGAAGACAACTACATCAAAACCCGATTTCGTCGAAAATGTTAGTTACGAGGTCCTGCGTTTCAGCCCTCGATATGTTATTCCTCCAGGGATTAATGACGAGTAGCGGGATTAATGGTCATTATTCCACAAAAGTGTCAGTGTCAAACGTGTAGTGCTTGTGAATTTGTATTGAAAATTATGAGACGGATGAAATTTGTTCATTGAAAATCTCAAATAAATTAATTTGTCGTAAATAAAGTAGAGTATACTACTCGCAATAATGACTCTTATTCCCTCGGAATGTTACTCCCTCGCCGCTAACGCGGCTCAGTTCGTAATAATCCTCGGGAATAATAGCTATCATTATTGACTCGTGGTATAATCTACTATTGTATATCGGTGGTCTACACGACATTCTGTTAAAGCTTCCAGCATTTTTCCGTGACTGATTGTATCGAAAGCCTTTTCGTAATCCACAAATATCAGTACTAGAGGCTTGTTGTATTCGACACACTTTTCTATCATATTTCTTAGTGTCAGTATGATCATTTGGTCCATATCCAGATCTAAATCCTGCCTGTTCTCGTGACTGATACAATTTCAATTTATTTTCTATTCTTTTAGTCAGAACTTTGGTGAATAACTTGTAGATGTTTGAAAGCAGGCTGATCCGGCGGTACTTTTAGAGGTCTGTGATGTCCCCTTTCTTATGCAATAGGATTATTACTGCGTTATGCCACTGAGTTGGAGTTACTGCTCCACTTCGACATTTATTAAAGAGTTTTACTAGAGCCTTTAGGAGTTTTGTCCTAGCTAATTTCATAGCTTCAGCCACTACTCCATCTTCACCAGGAGACTTACCGTTTTTCATTTCTCACTTCATTCAATGCTATGTCTGGGATTTGTTCAGAACCTTGGCTCATGACTTGGGACAGTGTGTGGTTTTCAGCACGCTGTCCCTGTTCTTCATACAGCTGATTGTATCTTCTATAACGTTCAGAATGAATTCCCTGTCGCAAATAATTCGCCCTTGACTGTTTTTCTAATTTATGAATGGTTTTTCTTCCAGAGGACATATTTTGTCTAAGAACTTTTAGGCTTTTGTTTTCTTCAATTGTCCTTGCTATCTCTCTAGTGTTGTGCTGTCTAATGTCTTTCCGAATTTCCTTGTGTATTTTCTTATTTGGGTGCTTCAATGAGTCAAAGTTTTTACTGTATTTTATGTTTTAGTTTTCTTCTTTCATCCAAAAGTTTCCTGGTATTTTGACTTAATTTGTTGTTTTTGTTTTTACCTACGGTACAGCATTGTTTTTCGGCCTCTTTTATAGCATTTACTATATTTTTGTACATTTCTTCTGTGTCTGTTTCTTCCATGTAATCTTGTGCTGCCAAATTTCGGATCACGACTTGTTGACACCGCGGTTTGTTTACCCCTCGAAAAAATGTTAAACTAAACCCTATTTCATGTTTAATGTGGGTTTGTAGATAAATAAGACTACTCCTCCAAATTTAAATTTAATTTGAAACAATCACACGGAAATTAATACAAACTAGCACCATTTTAACACATCATATCACTCAAATTATCAGGATTGTTTATCATCAATAATTGTTCAGTAATTTGCTAGAAGATTTCATTTCTCTGTTATTTTAAGCCATACTTGCAGTACACTTTTTGTTTCACATTGTGAATTGAACACTGAACAGAGTCTCAACTGTCCCTATACCGTTAGAACAGGGATGTCTACAAATCTCAAATACATGTATCGCTGTTAGTGGTGACAACATCAATGGGGCCCTCAAGGGGTTGAGACTTTGTATTTGGGGAGAGGGGATATTGAAATCAATTTATTGAACCCTGCATCTGAGGTCATGCTGAATTACTCTTGTTGTACATTATACAGAGTTTTCGGTTCACCGACTTACATATAAAAGTAGGTGAAAAGTTAGATCATACTTTACACTATATAAATACCTACTATGTATCATGCAAATACTTTGGGGTTATGAGATTTCATAGATTGTTTCTTTTTCTTTTTCTTAAAAGGTTGAAATTTTCACAATTAAATATACAATTCCTGTAAAATGCTTCATTTTCGGCCTAGTCCCTAAAAGTCATCATAGCAACCTTTACAGACTATTTTAAATGATTAAAGTAGACAATATTATTTTAAAAATCTATCAAGCATACCTCCAGGGCTGCGTTCAGGAATGGCTACAGCCAAGCCAAAATTGGCATTTTGCATTCGAGGTCGGCTCCAACCTACGCGGTTCGGCATTACCAGTGGAGGGGGAAAAGTAGGTTTTGGCATTAGCATTGCCGTCTTTGAACGCACCCCAGGACTCCCGAAAAACCTTATTTTAGGTACTTGGGTACAAAAATAGCTACTCGGTAACTTTACTTACTTCTATCATTGTTCGTTTTTTGTAAATTTTATGGTTACTGTACTATTTTTTTTATTTAAAAAAATCATTTTTTTTCCCCTACTTTTAGCTTTAATTTTTTTTGGCTGCTTTTAATAGGTGATTAACTTACCTCTATAACATTCTTTTTTGAATAAGGTATAGAAGTATATAATGTGTATTCCAATATTATATATTTTTTAAAATTTTACCTTCCATCCATTTTTGTCAAAATTCTATTAGGAGGCTTCACAAGAATAAAGCTATGTTTTCCAGAAAATTCAAGAATTGTTTCTTATTGGTATTGGTATTGTTTCTTTTTATCACGTATGCATCATAATCAACGATTATCGCACGCTGCAGCGTGCATAAAATGATGTTTATGATGCGCCTACCTTTTCAAAGGTTTGCTATAGAAACGTTTGATCTTCCTTCATTACCTAGATATTTACCTGCCCTTTAAATTACTATTTATCAAAATGAATGAACACATTTAAAACATTTTTGACATTATGAAGCATTTGTAATAAAAAAATAGCATATGATATGCGTGTATGAGAGGGCCTTTAAAGGCCCTCTAATACACTTATATCATAATATAATATTAATGATACCTACATAGTGATCTCAATTTGCATACAGAGCTGCAAGCTCTCAGAAAACTTAAATCTTTTTTTTGATTTAAACCATTTTAATCACTTAAGTCATTTGATTTTAAGTCATTTCTTGAAAACTGACTTAAGACTTGAAATTTAAGCCATATTCAAAAAGATTTGTGACTTAAATGTCTTTTTTTCCGAAAACTTAAGTCATTATTTGAAAGACTTAAATCAGTACATACGATTTAAGTCTTTATAAAAGGCTACAGTCTATAAATTATTTAAGTAATTTATAAAATATTTAAGTATTTTCATAGTGGTTTTATTCTCATCTGTATTTACAATAGATTAGTAATACCTAAAAATTGATATTATTTTGAAAAAAGATACTTAAATTGAATTCTCGTTTTCTTGACTTAAGTCAAATTTTTTGATTTTGGTCAGCTCATCATAATTTAAATCAAAAATAATTATAGACTTAAGTCATTAAAATGACTTACTAAAGGATTAAGTCATAAAACCACTTAAACCACATTATACTGACTTAAGTCATTACGGAAATGACCGAGGAAATGACTTGACTTGAAAGAAAATACTTTAGGTCAAAGACTTAAGACTTAAAATAATTTGAACTTTATGTTAGAATTGACTTATGATTTAAATCATTTTGATTTTAGAAATGACTTAAGACTTAAGATTTAAGTCTTTTTGAAACTGACTTGTTGCATACATGAATAAATTTTCTTTCCGCCAGTCCCAAATAAACATTCACATTTCATTGTTTTTTTTTTTACTTTTTAGGTGCCATCAATAGTTTAAGATTTCAACACACAGAGGCAGAGAGCAAGGATGATGATTACCACTCTATTATAAAAAACACAGAAAAACCTATAGGTAATAACTTGTATACGGATTTTTATTTAACTTTCAACTCTGTGATTTCAAGGCGAAAGCACAAAACATGAATTCCAAGCCGAAACTCGCATGTTACTGGATATTGTGGCCAGATCACTCTACTCAGAAAAAGAAGTTTTCATTAGAGAGTTAATTTCTAATGCCAGTGATGCTTTGGAAAAATTCAAATTTGTTTCCATGTCAGAAACAGAGGGAGCTAAAATCAAGGACAGAGATCGGTCCTTAGAAATTCACATTTTGACTGATAAGAACGCTAGAACCTTCACTATACAGGTACAACATTAACTATTGACGATTTCCAATTAATCATTTTGATCATTTAGGACACAGGAATTGGTATGACAAGAGAAGAACTTACCCAAAATCTTGGCGTTATTGCCAAATCGGGATCCAAGGCATTTATAGAACAAATAAAACAAAACCAAGCTGCCGGCGATAACAACATAATTGGTCAATTCGGTGTAGGATTTTATAGTGCGTTTATGGTGGCAGATAAAGTGGAGGTTTTTACAAGAACTGCTGGAGAAGAACAAGGCTGGAAATGGACTTCCGACGGGTAATAATTTGTTTATTTCAAAGAATGTACAATCTATAAATTTTTTGGATTAAATTTGCTAATGATTTATTTAAATCTTTTGGATGTACGTACATTATTGCATTCTTTTAAGGGATTTATAAGAATTTGGACTCAAGGACTGTAGCAAAAATAAATAGCAACAGGCAGTGGCGACGCGTGACCATCAGTCTGCGGGGGATAAATGGTACGGGGGGTTGAGGGTGCGCCCTCCGAAAACGCGCCGCAGGCGAAATGTTTTGCAAATTACAAGGTCATTCACTTTTCCAGAACAATTATTTCCCTTGTGAGAAGAATAAAACAAAACAAAAATTTATTTTCTTCAATATACTTTGTATTTTCTTTTGGGCATCCTGATTTTTCTCTTGATAATTTAATCCTGGGGGGGGGGGGGGTAATTACCCCCATTACCCCTCCCGACGCGACGCCCCTGGCAACAGGTGCACACATAATATATTATTTACTAAGTTCTGTATTATAGTTTTTTTAATCTTGTAAAGCTCTGGAGAGGATGCAAGCAAAAATCAAATTGCTGGCAAGATTTAAATAAACCACGAAAAAGTTTGGTCCAAAAAGCACTAGATTTTTACCTCTACCGAACTATAAGTTGACATGAACTTTTTACTAAAATCTATAATTATTATCGATTATTCTAGAACTGGCAACTATGAAATTCAACCTGCTGAAGGTGTAGCATTTGGAACGAAAATCATTTTGCATCTGAAAGGCGATTGCAGAGAATTCTCTGATGATGATACAATCAAAAATATTATAACAAAATATAGTAATTTTGTTGGAAGTCCTATATACCTTAATGGCAAAAAAGCTAACATAGTACAACCATTATGGACTCAAGATCCCAAAACCGTAAGCAACCATCAACATATTGATTTCTACAAATTTATTAGTGGCAGCTATGACGTACCAAGGTACACTTTACATTATAAAACTGATGCGCCATTGTCTATTGCAGCATTGTTATATTTTCCCGAGGGAAAACCAGGTAAAAGATCTTGTTGTGATATATTAGAATGAAAAATTTAGTGAATGTATTTTAGGTTTATTTGAAATGTCGAGAGAAATTGAATCTGGAGTAGCACTTTACACTAAGAAAGTCCTAATTAAGAATCGTACTGATAATATATTGCCCAAATGGTTGCGATTCGTAAAAGGTGTTGTGGATTCGGAAGATATTCCTTTGAATTTGAGCAGAGAGTTATTGCAAAATAGCAACCTGATAAAGTAAATTCTAATTACATATTAATTTCATCCATGATATATTTTTTTTTTTTCTAGAAAGCTAAGAGATGTTTTGACAGCAAGGGTAACAAAGTTTTTATTGGATCAATTGAAAAAGAATCAAGCAGAGTATGAGAAGTTTTATTTAGATTATGGACTTTTCATCAAGGAAGGCATTATTACGAATCATATTCAGACAGAAAAGGTACTGTGTGATGACATTTCCTTCCTGGTATACAATAATAAATGGGAAAAATATGTTGTTCCTATCAAATTCCTATAAACATAGATCTAACGCACACCCTGTATATTTTTTGTTTTTCGGATTCTACAGATCGTTTTACATCCTAATGCACCACTTTTGAATCGATTTTTGTCCAAATGTTATTTTTAAATTAAATTTTATTTTTTTAACTAGAGTGCCATGATCATCCTAAAATGACTACATACTTTATCTAATTTCAGAAAAATACAAAATCAATTTTATCTTTGTAAACTTTTTTGATAGAGGGCTGTAAACTCCATTATTTCAGTATTTTTGCCCTAGCTCAAAAAGTAGAATAGAAACATTTATCACTTTCATAACATTACTAAATACAGTATTTCAAAGCGAATCCAACGATATAATACACTACGACATTTTTCTCAATTTTCGTTCATATACTTATTTTTGTGGGTAATTTTTTTTTTCTACTTAAAATTTAATTTGAGAACGAAATTTGGACAAAACTCTATTTAAAAATGGTTCATTAGGACGTAAAACGATCTGTAGAATCCGATAAACAAAAAATATACAGGGTGTGCCATTTGAAAATCAAAAGTTTCGGTAATTTCCGGTGAAACCGGAAGTCAGAAAAAGTTGTCATAAATGCATAAAAATGGCGTTTGGTTAGAATATCCACCCTACCAAATTTCGTTGATATCGATGAACAAATAAAAAAATGGCAGCCGGAAAGTAATCTCGTGGGCACCCGGTATAGATATACTCAGCATATGCGACGTCACTAATTTTTATGATAAGTGACGTCATAGGCATATTTCATAGCGTTGTATCTCCGTCAATTTTTGACTAAGAAGAAAAAAAAAAAAACACGTGTTGTCTTATTTTTCATGGACTATCGAAATCAGCAATAAAAAAATTTGATGCAAGGAGCCCATTCCATATTTAATTCTGGAATGAGCGCAAGCCTCATAAAAATTCTGAATTAAAGTTCATTTTGAGTGCATACACATCCGAAGCCACTCTGTCACAAATAAAATCCACCTGTGAACTCCAATATGAGCCTTGAGTCTATTTTCATTTCCAAAAATTGGTTGATTTCCTTGTAAATTTATAGCTCGTGTTGACAGGAACAATTCCACAACTCCTATTATTTATTCAAACCCTTTATTTCAGGAAGATGCTGCTAAACTCTTACTTTTTGAATCCTCGCATTTAGATCCTGGCAAAAAGATCACCTTAACAGAATATATGACTAAAGCAAAAGAAGAAAGGACCATTTATTATTTGGCAGCACCAAGGTAAGTATGGATAAAATCCCAGATATTTAGTACCTACCTCAAATTTCTATTTTTTAGTCGGGTGCTGGCAGAATCTTCACCATACTATGAATCACTCAAAAAGAAAAAGCAAGAAGTCCTGTTTTGTTATGAACCATACGATGAGCTGGTTTTAATGCAACTGCAACAGTTCCAAGGATATAAACTCATTTCAGTAGAAAAGGACATGAGGGATGATAAGACTGCTAGTGATCTTACCAATTTAGGTAGGAATCCAAATATTTATTTCAAAATTTTCTGTACAAAAATTCTATTTAGGAGATGACAGTTTGAAACGCAGCGAAATCAATGAGCTTTCAGATTGGTTAAAAGACAAGCTCACAGGTAAAGTAACAGCCGTAAATGCTACAACCAGGCTTGAAAGTCATCCATGTGTGGTGACAGTGGAAGAAATGGCTGCTGCCAGACATTTTATTAGGACTCAAAGTCATGGGTTGCCCGAGGATAGAAGATATGCTATTTTGCAGCCACAATTTGAAATTAATCCTAGACATGCGATTATCAAAAAATTATACAAACTTAAGAATAGTGATCCGGAGTTAGGAGAACTTCTTGCAAAACAGGTATGATTTTTGTTCTGTAATAAAATTATGTAGATAAGACATTCAGGATTATATTCAGAGTAATAAATTTCGCCAGTCAAATAAAAATAATTGATAATCATGAAAGCAAATATAATAAACCACGCGTCTATTGCAAAACCTGCTAATCAAAATCAAGTGTTAATGGAATATCGGCGTATTGCTGTTGAATATTGCGTCGATATCATCATTTAAATTTTTTTTTAAATGGAAATATTTCTAAAAAATAGGCCTAATACAACTAAAATTTTAATTTGAACCTATTTCTTTCAGCTCTTTGCCAATTCTATGGTAGGTGCAGGCTTAGTAGAAGATCCAAGGGTTTTGTTAACCTCGATGAACGATTTGCTGGCCAAAGCTTTAGAAAAACATTGATTTTAGTTCTAATTAATACCTAATAATTTTGTATATAAAATAATTGTTGTTATATTATTCATTACTTATTTGTAATAATTTGATAAAAGTAATAAAATCTGTGATTTGAAATTTTGTCTTTTTACATGTCCTATCTTTAATTGCTTTGTCTGGTTCCCTCATGCGAGATGCATGTTTACCTCCTATAATCATATATATTCTTTTTTAATTATGTACTCTAGGTCATCATGGTCCTGTGCAATTAATACTTGGTCATCCGCAAAGCTTAGGTTGTATTTATTGATCGGTATTCTCATGTGTCTGCATTTGTTTTTCCACCCCTTGAGCGCTTTTTCTAAGTATATTTTAATAAAGTAGGTATTGATGATATGCAGCATCCCTATTTAGGTCCTTTAGTTACTGTAAAGTGTAAAGCCTTTGCTGTATATGCTCATTGTTTATGAGCTAACATCTAGCTAAAAGGCAGCAGCTTAAAGTTTTCTGTTTTACATTATCAAATTAAAAAAGGTTGTTTCAATAAAATCCGACAAAAATCCTCTTTGCTGACTGTATCATAATGATGATGCATTGGTTATCTTAATTATCTCTGCTTGAAATAATTGCCATGTATTGTTTACCAAGTTTTGCGTATTAGTTGATTTTTCAACACTTAAAATTTATAATTTTAGATAAAATATGGTTTTATAATATGTATATTATAAATAATTTGAAATATTTGGTATAGGTTGATATGTCTACAAGATCTTATAAAGTAAATGTTCACAATACATAATTTTAGTTCATATTTTTCAGTGTAAACCTAGTTTCAATCTGCTGCAAGGATAGTTTTTATAAATTCCTTATAGGGACCTTGAAAGTGATCTCGGGCAACATCTATAATTATTTACTGAAGCGTCTGTACCTACAAATACACTAGATATTTAAATATATTTCGATTTGTAAAATCACAAATGCTGTTTTTCTTCTAAAGCAAGCAAATACATATAATACTTACATTTTTTTTTTGATTACCTACCTATCTTTCACCTAAATTCTACTTGTCCACTGTCAGAGGAGGCAGACGCAATAGAGAACTTTGATGAAATAACAATAATTAGATATAAATATCCAATAAATGAACGGTACAGATGCAAATAAGGGCATATTCGCCAAATTTTTCGAATCTATTCAAAATCCAATCTCAATGAACTGTCCATCAACTTTAGCAGTTTGGTAGAGGAACTTATTTCAGAGACTGTAATCCTCAGAGCTGTAATCTCACTATTATATAGATTATCGTAAAGTTCCATAAGACTATGTAAACTTAAATGTATTTCACCTATATCAATATAAATCCTTTATTTAGTCAAGACTAATTTACAGTTATACAGTTACAGTTATCAATTGAAATTCCACTAAAGCTAATTTATAATTTAATTAAAAAACAATTTAAAATCTACAGTCAATAACACAATGATAAAAAATTATTTAAAAAAAAACGTACACTGATACAATACAAGTGACACATACTACTTACTTATAAGTTAACATCACTTAGCATATAATCTTTGAGAACTTTTTTAAAAGAATTCACTGTTTTCATAGACTTAACATTACTTGGCAGATCATTATACCTACTCAAGCCCTTAAAATATAATGAGTTTTGCGACCTTTCCTGATCTACCCTTGGGATATAAAAATTTTCTCTGTGGCGCGTATGATATTGATGCACTTCAGAAGCATACATAATTTTGCCTAACAAATATTGCGGAGCTTGACCAATTTTTATTTTATGAATGAATGTTAGGGTGTTAAACAGAAGAAGCTCCCGCACTGGCAGCCATTGAAGTTCTTTTAACATATCCTTTATTGGTGTTAACCTTGGTTTTTTGAGTATCACCCTCATACTTCTGTTTTGCAATTTCTGCAATCTTGAGAGCTCATTTTGTCTGAAGAGAAACAAAATACTAGAACAATAATGGAAATGTGGAAGTATTAATACATTAAATATAGTTTTTTTAGTCCAAGTAGACAAGTATGGAGAGCAGCGAGATAAATAATTTACTTTAAAAGCGATTTTTTTAATTATTTCTAATGCATGACTTTTAAAATCTAGTTTATGGTCAATCCAAATTCCTAAGTATTTAATTTTTGTTACCATTTCAATAGTGTCGCTGCCCAACAATAATTTGCAGTCCATAGCCAATAGCTGTTTGTAAATGGATTCCCTTGCAATAATCATGTACTTTGTTTTAGAAATATTGACCTTCAAATCATTAACATTACACCACTGATACACATCATCCAATATTTGATTAAGTGATGTCTCAAGTTGGCCCAGATCTTTTGTGGAATAATAGAATAAGGCATCGTCAGCAAAAAGATATGTGGTACAATTTTTTACGTTTTTAATTATGTCATTAATATATATAATAAATAGCAAAGGCCCCAGCACGCTCCCCTGAGGGACGCCAAAATCATTAGATATATCTTCTGATAATATGTCATTGACTTTTAGTCTTTGTTTACGGTCACTCAAGTAGCTCACAAACCATTTTAAAACTACTCCCCTAATACCAATGCTTTTTAGCTTTAATATTAACCTTGTCCTGTTTACAGTTTCAAATGCCCTTCGTAAGTCAAGAAAAATGGCACCAGTTGCTAAGTTTTTGTCAATAATTTTGCCTCCAGTCTTCCAAGATACCCTGCACAGCAGTTTCGCAACTAAATTTTACTCGAAATCCTGATTGAAAATCACTTAGTATTTTATTCCGATCTATATACTCAACAAGTTGCATATACACCATTTTTTCCAAAATTTTGTCAATAGTGCAAAGCAAATTTATTGGACGCAATTCATTGGCAGATTTTAATTTAATTACTTTGGGGATCGGGATTATAGTGGAAACTTTTAACATATCAGGAACCTGACCTAATTCTAGCGAAGAATTAACTAAATTTAAAAGTGGATTCTTTATAATCTCAAAAGTATTTTTGAGTAAATTGATGTTAATATCATCTGGACTTGATTTATTAGCCATTCCAAAAATAATATCTTTCAACCCTTCAAAATCCAACATACTAAAATCTGAAAAATTAACCAAATCGTCATGGTGAGCCAATGGAAAATCTCCAAGATCAGACTTATCTATATCCCGAAGTATATCTTTAATACTATCAACAAAAAAATATTCAGTTTATTAGGTAACTCCTCTTTATCACTAATTAAGGTATTATTTATTTCTACCTCATCAATTTTAGCCACTGTTCTTTTTGAAGGTAATAAAGTTTCCAAAGTTTTCCACATTTCTGTGGGATTATTTTTATTTTGACATATTTTTTCTTCATAGAACTTACGTTTCTCTTCTCTAAACACTTGAACTGCAAAATTTCTTTTTTGCTTATATTCATTTAAGTTTTCATCTGTTTTATTATTTTTATAAGTCCTATAACTAAAATCACGTTCTCGCATCGCCATCTCAACCCTATTGTTCCACCATTTTTTATATTTAGGAAAAATTTTTACGGTTTTTATTGGAGCAACTAAATTTAAAATTTCCAGAACAGTTGACACAAAACTGCTAAACTTATGATTTATGTCAGAATGATAGTACCTGAACTCACAATTGCGCAACATTTGGTTGATACTCAAAAAATCAATATTGCCACCTCTAGTATCAACAGTCTTAGCCACTTTAGGACTCACATTGTGTAATATTTCAATCATGTAATGATCAGTAATTTTTGGGGTAATAATAACATTAGCTTTAAACAACTTATCAGAGTTCGTTAGCACCAAATCTATGATTGAGTCTTTATCTCTACCAGAGCGAGTTGTAGCAAAAACAATATTTTTAAGACCTATATCTACAAGAATTTCTTTTAAAGCTTTTGACTCATCCGTTCTGTAATCGATGTTAAAGTCGCCTACAACTAAAATGACACAATTTTCATCAATCAAATTTTCTTCGCACCATGCTTGAAAAAAAAGCTCAAAATCCCGTTTAGATGAACTTGGAGATCTGTACAGAGATACCAAAAGATATTTTTTCTTATTGTAAAAGATGTATGTGTAAACCAACCAATAATTTTTATGTTTAAATGTCTGTTGTGATTTTAAAATTTTAACATCATCTCTTATGTATAAAATCGCCCCACCTGTACTTCTACTATTACTATCTACTCTCTCCAAGCTATAACCATCAATATGAACCTCCCCATCCAGAATTTTTTCTGTTAAGCAAGTTTCAGACAATGCTATAACTACTGGTGATCTACTTAAAGCTAGCTGATAAATCTCATCAAAGTGAGCCGTTAAACTAGATGAGTTAAGGTACAATATAAAAATCTTATCACGCTTGTTTATGTTTCTGGAATTTCTATCAAAACTTGATCTAAAAAACTGCCAGTAGATACTAACAATTGATCTTTTACCTCAGCCCCCGTAATCGCATTTTGACTACTTTCGTTAATTCCGCTATTATCAACAAAAGTTTCTGTATTAACATAAATAAGATTAGCATGCAAGCACGGAAAATGCTCTGAAGAGTTGGCACGTATGATTCCACCGAGAGTAGCACCTACCAGGCGAACCCGTCAAACAGACAGTAACCATGAATTTACTGTCAAACTAGAGGCACCAAGAACCTCATTATATCAGAATTCATATCTCTGGAGAACAGCATCGCTGTGGAATAAACTCCCTGCGTCGGTTTTCCCTGCAGGTTACAACCTGAACCGTTTCAAGACCAACATACACCGACATTTCCGCGCACTTGCCGCTTCTCGAGCGTGATAGGATATTTCCTTGCGAGTGCGCATATCCGTAAAAAAAAAAAAAAAAAAAAAGCATTCCTTTTACTTACAGCAAACACGGTGTTGCTTATAAGATTTGCAATTTCCACCTTACTTTTTCTGAAACCATTCCAATCATTGAGATCACAAAACATTGTTTTTCCCTCACTATAAAAGTTCAATCGATCTGCATATTCATAAAGCTTTTTATTAAACATTTGCACCCTTTCATCAAGGCCATTCTTTCTATAATTCATGTAAGGAATTGAAGTTAAAACAACGTTAGTGTGAGTGCAGTATTTAAGTTTTCTATTTATATCTCTAAAAGATGGAAATT